TATATATATAAAAAATTAAAAATTGTCTAGTAGCACCTTAGAGACCACTAAGTTTGCACACTTCTTCAGATGCACACTTCTTCAGGGTGGAGCTGTTGTCATCATGAACAAAACTGATTACATCCAGGAGGTTCACAGACAACTCTCCAGTAGGGCCTTTTATAAAAAACTGGGCTTAGACCCCACACAGGAATGCAAAAAAGAACTGAACAAGATAGTTAAAGAGCTACCCTCCCCACATCCAAGAACAAATCCTCTCAAACACACCAACAGAACCTCGACCAGGAACCTTCTATCTTCTACCCAAAATACACAAACCAGGAAATCCAGGACACCCCCCATCATCTCACGTATTGGCACTATCACAGTAGGTGTTTCTGGATATATGGACTCTGATCTGAAACCGTATGCCATCAGTGCTCCTAGCTACGTATGTGCCACCACAGGTATCTGAAGAAGTGTGGATGCACACAAAAGCTTATACCAAGAACAAACTTAGTTGGTCTCTAAGGTGCTACTGGGCAATTTTTATATATATTTCGACTGCGTCAGACCAACACGGCTACCTATCTGAATCTAGAAGGGTGGCTATCAGGCAGGCTTAAGCTCAGGATGAGCTCAGGCTTGCAAGAAAGTTATTTACACCTTGATTTGTAATTGTTTCTTTAAAATCATTTCTTGATTTTTTTAAAAAAATTAAAATTCTAGGGAATTTGACACTAGAAGTTTGCATTCATTTTGCTTGTCGATCTGTACTATATCCTTTTTAGGTGGGGTTGATAAGAACTGTACAGAGCCAACACCTAGGGGCTGAGGATTCTTTGTCCCCCATTAAAATATTTGAGGGGACCAATTGAATTGGGCATTGCCATTCAAATGGTATGCATGCACCACATCATGTGATCAGTTATTCAGGGTAGGGCTTACCTGCCCCACCCCCTATTTTATTCAAGTTGGCACCTGTGACAGGATATCTAATACAACCAAACTATTATGAGCATATGTTGTTTTTACTGGTTTTTAATTTCTTTTCTCTTTCTTTTAGGCTTCAGATTGAAGAGTCTTCTAAACCTGTAAGCTGGACTATGCAGCTGGACAAAGCTGTAACCACTAACTACAAACCTGTGGCTAATCATCAATATAATGTGAGTTACTTTTCATGTTAGCCCTTATTGTAGTTCTTAAACTAATACTGCCAAATCACTAGGTGGTTAGTTCAACTCAAGAGATGAAATTCAGCACTCAGTCCAACTGTAATATTTGTTTAAGTTGACCTATTAAGTCTTCTGTATTATACAACAGTGTAAGAGCATATTTCTATAAATCTATTTTAAAAGGGCCAGATCCTGTGCATACCCATTTTAAATTTTTTTTTTTTTTGCTTTCAAATTGTTATTGGAAGAGGTTCAGTTGATTTTTACAGTTAGCAAATACCTCAGTATGTTTTAATTGAAGGAGAGGTATAATCGGCACAACGCCGGGTCAGCCTACTGGCAGAATAAAACAACATTAAAGCAATAAAGCAAATGATTGGATTAAAGAATAGTTCAGCAGCAGTTAGTGCAATGAAACACCCAGTGAAGTGGCAGGAATGATTTTTTTAAAAAAATAATAATAATACTATACTGTAAAACACATGATCAAATAGAACTGTTTTGACCTGCCATCTGAACATGCTCAAAAGCATAATGGGATGCTGCTGCTGCTGAAAAAATATTCCTTCCAAATGTAGTTAGGTGTTTGGCAGTCCCCAGTGCATTACAGAGTTGAGGGGCAGCCTCTATATACAGGTGAAACTTGGAAAATTAGAATATTGTGGAAAAGTTCATTTATTTCAGTAATTCAACTTAAAAGGTGAAACTAATATATGAGATAGACTCATGACATGCAAAGCGAGATATGTCAAGCCTTTATTTATAATAATAATAATAATAATAATAATAATAATAATAATAATAATTTATTATTTGTACCCCGCCCATCTGGCTGGGTTTCCCCAGCCACTCTGGGCGGCTTCCAACAAAGATGAAAAATAAACTAAAATATCACATATTAAAAACTTCCCTGAACAGGGCTGCCTTCAGATGTCTTCTGAATGTCAGGTAGTTGTTTATCGCTTTGACATCTGATGGGAGGGCGTTCCACAGGGCGGGCGCCACTACCGAGAAGGCCCTCTGCCTGGTTCCCTGTAACTTGGCCTCTCGCAGTGAGGGAACCACCAGAAGGCCCTCGGCGCTGGACCTCAGTGTCCGGGCAGAACGATGGGGGAGGAGACGCTCCTTCAGATATACAGGACCGAGGCCATTTAGGGCTTTAAAGGTCAGCACCAACACTTTGAATTGTGCTCGGAAACGTACTGGGAGCCAATGTAGGTCTTTCAAGACTGGTGTTATATTGTTATAATTGTGATATTTATGGCATACAGCTGATTAAAACCCCAAATTAACAAGCTCAGAAAATTAGAATATTAAATGAAATCAGCAAAACAAGGACTGCAAATAGAGCAATATTGGACCTCTGAGAAGTAGAAGCATGCACATGTACTCGGTACTTGGTTTGGGCCCCTTTTGCATCAATTACTGCCTCAATGCGGCATGGCATGGATGCTGTCAGCCTGTGGCACTGCTGAGGTGTTATGGAAGACCAGGAAGCTTCAATAGCAGCCTTCAGCTCTTCTGCATTGCTCGGTCTCATGTCTCTCATCTTTCTCTTGGCAATGCCCCACAGATTCTCTATGGGGTTCAGGTCAGGCGAGTTTGCTGGCCAATCAAGCACAGTAATCCCATGGGCACTGAACCAGGTTTTGGTACTTTTGGCAGTGTGGGCAGGTGACAAAGTCCTGCTGGAAAATGAAATCAGCATCCCCATAAAGCTCGTCTGCGGAAGGAAGCATGAAGCGCTCCAAAATCTCCTGGTAGACGGCTGCGTTGACCCTGGGCTTAATGAAGCACAGTGGACCAACACCAGCTGATGACATGGCTCCCCAATTCAACACAGACTGTGGAAACTTCACATTGGACTTCAAGCATCTGGCATTGTGTGCCTCCCCATTATTCCTCCAGACTCTGGGTCCTTGGTTTCCAAATGAGATGCAAAAGCTGCTCTCATCAGAAAAGAGATTTGGGGAGCCATGTCATCAGCTGGTACATATACATGTTTTCTGTGTATCTGTGCAGTCCTACTTAATAAGGAATTTATGTTATAATAGAGACCATGATGGAACATGAGACAGAGGCAGTGTCTCAGAGCTAATGTTGCATAGTGGCCGGGAGGCTGAACCGTGCGGTAATAGGGAAATCCCCAGTTCAAATCTTGCCTCTGCCAGGAACACTCAGTAGGTGACGTCATAAGCTCTCACCAGGACTTAAGCTCTCCTTGTGTGGGCGTGTATCTGCTCTCCAAATACATAAAAGAGAAAATGGCCAGCACAGTCATTTTCTCAGGAGAAGGCTCAAGCGAGCCGATGCAGGGATATATCTGTTTTCATTAGGTTAATGTTTTTTGTTTCCTGAGCATTGCCTGAAGATGAACACACCACAATAAGAGACATCATTGAAGAAATAAAATAATGTTGGCAGATGCTGGCCTTTTATCACCATCGACTTAGAACTAAAATATCACTTTATAGATGCGTTTTGATCTTTCCAAGCTCCTGCCTGCAATAAATACTGACTGTGCATGCAATTCTCTTCCTGAATTCACAGTTTTAAGAGGACATGAAATAAAGCTATCTACAAGGTCAATGCACACAACAGTCCTCCCCCCCCCCACTTAAAATGATATTTTGAGGGGGGGGAACTGTGGTGTGCACTGACCTTGTGGAAAGCTTTTTGAATGTCCAGGTACACTATGTCAACTGGAGATCACTGCTATATGCTTGTTAACTCTCTCAAAGAAATCCAGCGGGTTCATGAGACAGGAGAACATAATCCTCTCTTGCCTACGTGTCAAGCCCTTTAATCTTATGTTCCTAAAGCTGTGATGAGCCTAGAATCCAACCTCTGCTTAAAAACCTCCAAGGAAGGAGAATACACAACCTCCCAAGGGAGACTCCCACTGTTGAACAGCTCTAGCTGTCAAAAAGTTCTTCCTGTTGTTTAGTCGGAATCTCATTTCTTGTAAACTTGAATCCAATAGAATTGTAGAGTTGGAAAGGGACCCTGTGGGTCATCTAGTCCAACCCCCTGAAGTGCAGGAATCCCAAGTAAAGCGTACATAATAGGTACGCTTAACAAGTTATATAAAAGAAACAATTGGTCTTTTTTAAGGAATTAATTGTGATTGCCACTTCTTACAGTAAAATAATTCTTCTGTGGAACTAAAGGTAAAGGTAAAGGTACCCCTGCCCGTACGGGCCAGTCTTGCCAGACTCTAGGGTTGTGCGCCCATCTCACTCAAGAGGCCAGGGGCCAGCGCTGTCCGGAGACACTTCCGGGTCACGTGGCCAGCGTGACAAAGCTGCATCTGGCGAGCCAGAGCCGCACACGGAAACGCCGTTTACCTTCCCGCCAGTAAGCGGTCCCTATTTATCTACTTGCACCCAGGGGTGCTTTCGAACTGCTAGGTTGGCAGGCGCTGGGACCAAGCAACGGGAGCGCACCCCGCCGCGGGGATTCGAACCGCCGACCTTTCGATCGGCAAGCCCTAGGCACTGAGGCTTTTACCCACAGCGCCACCCGTGTCCCCTTCTGTGGAACTAGAAATACATTAAAATGGTTAGCAGGAGGCCCTATGCAATTGGCTGCTCTCAGATTCAAGGAATGGCAGTGGAAGCATAAATGGGATGGAGTACTTTGGGGGACTTAGCTCTGTTTTATAATTTGGTTTATCTTTCATTGTGCCTCAACTAAGAGTTAAGAAGGTTCTTATTCATACCCAAAGCAGAACTGATTCGACACCCCCCCCCCCCGCTTTGTTCCTTGCAGCTACAAATTCATATGGTGGTTCTCCTGGAGTGGGTTAAAAACGCCATTTTAAAATTATGCCATTTGTATTGACAGATTGATTATGAAAAGAAGAAAAAGGAAGATGGGAAGAGGGCTCGGGCTGAAAAACAGCAAGTGCTGGACATGCTTTTTTCAGCCTTTGAAAAACATCAGTATTACAACATTAAGGACTTGGTGGACATCACGAAACAGCCGGTGGTAAGTGCTTGTTCTGAAAATGGATGCCGTTTGTCGCTGATAAATACATTAACTTATTAAGACAAATGCTTTAGTATGTAACATGTGCATAACCTGCATTTTAAATGAATCGGCACATACAGGTTTGTTTGTTTCCAATAGCAGACATTGCAACTGCATGTTTAAAAATAACCAAAGCCGTGCAAATTGGTTACGTTTTGTTGTTCTTCCTGATCGGTGTACAGTGGTACCTCGGGTTACATACACTTCAGGTTACAGACTCCACTAACCCAGAAATATTACCTCGGGTTAAGAACTTTGCTTCAGGATGAGAACAGAAATCACGCGGCGGCAGCAGCGGGAGGCCCCCATTAGCTAAAGTGGTGCTTCAGGTTAAGAACAGTTTCAGGTTAAGAACGGACCTCCAGAACAAATTAAGTACGTAACCAGAGGTACCACTGTATAAACCACAAGTTCTGAAACACAACAAAGTAACTCTTCACATATTGGGGATTAAGTGAGAAAAGAAAAGAAAACTGAGATGCTTCTTGTGTAATGGAACAGTTGGAAGGGTTTGACTACTTGGCATTTAATGATTAATAATCCCCGTGCCCCCTTCAACGCTTAGATTCAGATTTCAAGCCTTTTAGAATTTGTTGCTAGCATGTCAGTCCTCTTGCTCTAGGATTCTCTCTAGGGTATGGAGTTCCAGTGCATAGAATCATAGAATGGAAAAGTTGGAATGGACTCTTGAGAGTCACCTAGTCCTAGTGCAACTCCCTGCAATGCAGGAAATCTCAACTAAAGCATCCATGATGATTCCCATTTCTGTCAAAGCCAAATTCTACCCATAATGGACAGAGTTTGCAGCACAAGAACTGTAGGTGAGACTGTTTTTAAGGGCAAAGTTTGCCATCTGCTCCTTGAAGACAGCTGGAGGAGGGGAATTGAGCCTTTCTCCCACCCGCTTGTGGGGAAAACTGAGTTACTGCACTTGGGATTATTGTTGCAAGGCCTCTCTTAGCATTTACTGCCTATAATGATTGCAGGTATGTCACTAGCTAATAATAGTTACAGAATCTGAAAGACCTTGGAACTGGGAATCAGGTAATGAGCAGATATAATAGGGTCAACAGAGCTTGAATGGTCTGCAAGAGATTCAGTAAGGAGCCACAATAATAGCCCTGGCTAAGTTTGTGCCTGATGTACAACATCAACAAACCTGGAATAGCTCAGATAGCATGAGACTCTTAATCTCTGGGTCATGGGTTTGTGCCCCACGTTGGGCAAAATATTCCTGCATTGCAGGTTGGATTAGATCAGGCATCCCCAAACTCAGCCCGCCAGATGTTTTTGGCCTACTGCTCCCATCATGCCTAGCTAACAGGGCCAGTGGTCAGGGATGATGGGAATTGTAGTCCCAAAACAGCTGGAGGGCCGGGTTTTGGGGTGCCTGGATTAGATGATCCTCATAGTCCCTTCTAACTCTCTAATTTTATGATTCTATGGGTCTTCCTCATAAAGTTGTGCTTTGCAGGAAGAGCAAAGCTTTCATTCTCATTCATGATCTCATTTGAAACGGTTTGCCTTCTGTAAAAATAGGCATTCATGGCCTCTTTTTTAAAAAAATGTATATTATTGGATTTTTAAAAAAATGTCAGTTAACAATACTGAACACAAAAAACCTAGAAACACTTACCAAATATGAAATATGGAGCTTTGGCAAGTGTAAAAGGTAAGTATCACATAAGGATTGTAGTCTCCTCAATTCCAATATAGGCAGTCAAAAAAGGTGTTGTTCCATAGTTTTTCTTCCATGTGATGTTGGCTGTTGGAAACCATGCTCAGTCAATTTTACAAAGTCAATAAAGGGATGCCATGCTGTGTAGAAAGTGTTGGTTTCTTCCCTAGTGCGGTGCTTCCTTTGTAGAATGGTTAATTTGTCCATAAATGTCCCATTCTTGTGAGAACCAGGCTTCAAACAGGTTTGTACCGAGAGATTTCCAGTATTTTGCTATCACTAATTTAACTGCTGTTAGTAAGTGCTGAATGAGCTTTGAGAATGAGATATGCTGAAGAACGTGTCCCATTCAGTCCCACTGAACCTTGGGCCTGTGTGTGGCAGCATATTGACCCGAGATGTGCTTACATCAAAGGAACATAAAATTGCAAAAAGAGATTGCCAGTTCAAGCAATCAAATGCATTAACTGCATCTCAAGTTAATATAACAGTAGGTTCTGAACGTAACTGACCCTCCCAATATTGTATTGCAGCATCATCTATTAGGAAATGCTATATAGATCTTTATTTTATGAATTGAACCATTTGTCAGACAGGAGTTGTGTAGCAGGCCTTTAAGAAAAATTTCCCATTAGGCCCACTCTAGTGCAAATTTTGATTGCGATTCTGATCCTGCACATCTTCAAGCTGCAGTTTTATGTCAGATGGCTCTGTTCTTCATACTGAATTCCATGTCTTTATTTGCTGTTGTGGATACACTGGGTGAATTGAAAAATATTCTTAGTGGTTTTAATGCCTTATCCCAGTCATCAGCTAATTCTTTTTTAATTAAAGCAATCAAGGCTATTGTGTCAATTGTGTCTTCCAGTCTCTCTGGATTGTTGTTTTCATTATGCTGAGGCTGCGTCACCATATTGGGCTTGACAGAGGCCTGTTATTGCGGTTCTTCAATAGTGTGAGACGGAAGTGAAAATCAGTCGTCCACAGTGTTGTTTTGTAATTCTTGGATTCTACAGCTCATAGCCCACCTGGAGCTACTGAGTATCACAGAACTGTAGAGTTGGAAGGGACCCCAGCGGTCCATCTAGTCCAACCCCCTGCAATGCAGGAATCTCAACTAAAGCAACCATGGCAGATGACAGACATGTCAGCATCGCCCTTGAGTCAGTGCCACCGACTGGACTCATCCACTTCAGCCCGACTGGGCCAGGCGAGCTGGGGTAGCACTTCCAGAGACCACCTTCTGAACAGGAACAGGTCAAAGTGCTGTGTACTCACAACTCAGAGCTGTGAGCACCAGATTCACTCCCGAAGACAGTCGTTGCACAGCAGAGTACAGCAGAGCATAAACCACTCGGAGAACAGCTCTGTAGAATATCTACTTTTATTCTATCTACAACTATCATACAAACTATATACAGAGCTAAATGGAGAAGCTGAACTGCACTGAGTGTCTGCAGCTGCTCTTAGCAGCAACCTTATCTATACAGAGATAACACTCTCTCTCTCTCTAACACTCAGTCTCTCTCATTGATGTGAGGCTGGAGCGGAATAAGTAGTGAGCAGAAACCGCCCCCTCCTCTCTGGAGAATCAGCAGAGAACATCAGCAGATTCTTGGAATGGGAGGGGTGAAATCTTGTCCTCTTGGAAAAAAGTGACATGTGGGGTACAGCAGCGTTCTGTCCTAGGCCCATTGTTGTTCAACGCCTATATAAATGACTTGGATGAAGGAATTGAGGTGATGTTCCTCAAATTTGCAGATGACACCAAACTGGGAAGTTGTAGCTAAGACCACAGAAGACAGAACCGGGATTCAAAATGACCTTAACGGATTGGAGAGCTGGGCCCAAGCTAACGGAATGAATTTCAATAGGGAGAAATGTAAGGTTCTGCATTTAGGAAGAAGAACTAGCTGCACAAATATAATATGGGGGACACCTGGCTTGCTAGTAGTACATGTGAAAAGGATTGAGGGGTTTTGGTAGACCACAAGCTTAACATGAGTCATCAGTGTGATGCAGCAGCAAAAAAAGCTAATGCTATTCTCGGCTGCTTCAACAAAAGTCTAGTGTCCAGATCAAGGGAAGTGATAGTACTGCTCTGTTCCACCTTTGACCATGCCTGGGATACTGTGTCCAATTCTGGGCACCACAATTTAAGAAAGATGTTGACAAGCTGCAACATGTGCCAGGGAGGGCAACCAAGATGATCAAGGGTATAGAAAACAAGCCTTATGAGCAGTGGTTGAAGGAGGTACCATATTTTTTGCACCATAACACTCACTTTTTTCCTCCTAGAAAGTAAGGGGAAATGTCTGTGCGTGTATGGAGGGAATGCCTACGGGTGGCATGCCTACGGATTTTCCTCCTCTAAAAACTACGTGCGTGTTATGGTCGGGTGCGTGTTATAGAGCAAAAAATACGGTATATTAAGCCTAGAAAAGAGGAAAGTGAGAGGACACATGATTTGTTGTTGTTTAGTCGTTTAGTCGTGTCCGACCAGAGCATGCCAGGCACTTCTGTCCTCCACTGCCTCCCGCAGTTTGGTCAAACTCATGCTGGTAGCTTCGAGAACACTATCCAACCATCTCGTCCTCTGTCGTCCCCTTCCCCTTGTGCCCTCCATCTTTCCCAACATCGGGGTCTTTTCCAGGGAGTCTTCTCTTCTCATGAGGTGGCCAAAGTATTGGAGCCTCAGCTTCACAATCTGTCCTTCCAGTGAGCACTCAGGGCTGATTTCCTACATGATAACCATCTTCAGATATCTTAAGGGCTGTCACATGGAAGAGGGAACACACTTTTTTCCCTCCTGCTCTGGAGGGTAGGACTTGAACCAATGGCTTCGAGTTATAAGAAAGGAGATTCTGAGTAAGCACCAGGGAGAACTGTCTGACAGGAAGAGCTGTTTGACAGTGGAACGGTCTCCCTCAGGAGGCTGTGGACTCTCCTTCCTTGGAGGTTTATAAGCAGAGGTTAGATGGCCGCATGCCATGGATGGTGTAGTTGAGATTCCTGCATTGGGGGGGGGGGGGTTGGACAAGATGCCCCTTGGGACCCCTTCCAACTCATCAACCCTACAGTTCTGTAATTCTTTGATTCTGTGATAGATGCTTTGAGTACTCCAAAGTGTGTCCAAACGCTTCTGCGAATCCTCCTGTCATTCTGAGACATTTATATTTCTCACTTGTATTTATCATCCTTGTATATCTGAAAGGGACGCGGGTGGCGCTGTGGGTAAAACCTCAGTGCCTAGGACTTGCTGATCGCAAGGTTGGCGGTT